CACATCCCATTTTACCTGTGGTTTGCTCTGTTTGTTTGTTCTTCCCCATCCAGCATGAGTCCCTTCTTTGTGATGTCTCTCCTCTTTGGCCTGATTTTTGGACAAACAGCATCACTCTGTGCTCCTGCCGAGTACACAATCCACGTGGAGAAGCGGGAATGTGCCTATTGCCTGGCCATCAACACCACCATCTGCGCTGGATTCTGCATGACTCGGGTACGGGATCTTTCTGTAACAGCCACCACCAAACCAGGGCTCTGTGCTCCCACAGAATAGCGTGCAAACGAGCAAATTGTAAAAGAGTTTATCACAGGCAGAAAAACTGCACTGTCACCATGTTTTCAAGTTAGCTTTTTGAACATGTGGGGGTGAAAAATGCCAAACCTCTGGGACACTGGTTGATAAGACCAGTGACACAACAGAGACCTGACTGCTGCTGCCTCTGTGGGCAGTTTGTGAGGGCAGGACGGAACAGGTGAGGGGCAGATTACACTGGGTAACTCTTAATTAATGTAAATAACTTAATTAATGTAAATAACTTCTGCTCCCACTGCTGCTACCCCAGCTGGCTGTGGGGACAGCTCTGCAGCAGCTGTACCACTCCACACAACTTCATTGTTCAACACAGCATTGAGTTCCAGCTTGGGCAGCAGGGAGCCAGAAGAGATCACAAAGCACAGGGCACACTCTGAGCCACGTGGGTTAGTCAAACCAGAGAAACAAAGGGAATGTGCCTGCGTGGGGAGGGAGCCCCAGTCACAATTAGAGCTCTGAACTCATCCACGTGAGCATACTGAAATGCTCAGGAGTACCAGAGCTGGGCTCAGGTATGAGTTTTGGTCTCTGCACCTCACAGGATGTTTCTGACACGTGTGCCTCCGCACAACAACACATTTCTCTTCTCTTTGCAGGACAGCAATGGCAAGAAGCTGCTCCTGAAGAGTGCTCTGTCCCAGAACGTGTGCACGTACAAGGAGATGCTGTACCGGACAGCGCTGATCCCGGGCTGCCCTCTCCACACCATCCCCTACTACTCCTACCCCGTGGCTCTGAGCTGCAAGTGTGGCAAGTGCAACACTGACTACAGTGACTGTGTCCGTGAGAGGGTCAGGACAAACTACTGCACTAAGCCACAGAAGCTCTGTAACCTGTAAAGCTTTCAGTGGGATGTGGGTGAAATGTACTGCTCTGCTCGCACCTCAACGGAAATAAAACTGTTTCATATTCGGTTTGCAAACTGCTGTGCACAAAGATTTGTTCTGAAGGTGTATCGTTAGTTGCTTCAATTAATTGGGTGTTCTGAGACAGGCAGAAAAGAATGATGATAAAGGCTGTATGTTTGTATTGGGAACTCACATGAATTTACTTTGGAGGAGACAGGACTGTGTGGATGTATCAGCCTTTGCTCACAAATCCCAGATATTGTCTGAAGAGATGCTCAGAGATTTGTTAAATTGACATATTTCAGAATTTGATATTGATTTATTTCAGAGTTCACCTATTTCACTTGATGTATTTCAGAGTTAAAAAAGAAGCCATACACACTCTTGGTATTGAACTTTTAAAATAGATTTTGACACATACTTACAGCCTTCAAATCAGCAGCAGTATTTTTCCATCTATGTATTATTAATTCAGACACTGTAGATCTGTGTTCTCCCTGCTGTTGTCCAGACCTGTGTTTATTGGGAATGCTTCTCTACATTAATGGCATAACCCCCCCTTCCCTGCAGAAACAGTTTGAGCTACACCTGTCTGTGAGCACTGAGGAATCACTGCAGCTTCAACGCTGCCTGCTCTGCTCTCACGAGGGGAGTGTGCTGCCATCAAATGGAAAGCAAAACTCAAAAAATCCCATTTTTCCCCACAGGTGAACAACCTCCCTGGGAGTGGAAGGAGAGCTGAGCTGTGTGCTGAACATGCACAGGTGAGAGTGCAGAGCCAGGAATAAAGAAAAGTAATGCATGTAATTAATGTAAACTAACAACTGCTTCATTTCCACTGAGACTGTAGCTCCCAAGAAATTACAGATATTCCATTCATACATTGCTTGAAATAGTAAATAAAGGAACCAGAATTCACAGGATACGAATATAAAATGGAACATTCTTAGAAAAATCCTGCTTGCAGGATTGCAGTTTTCATTACTCTTCCTAGAATCTGATTCTCTGTTCCAAACACCTTCATTTTATTTATTTTGCAGCAAAACCTGTGAGAAAGCCCAAGGGAAACTGCTGGTGCCCCCCTGGAGCAGGTTTGGACTGGATGAGCTCCAGAGGTTCCTTCCAACCTCAACCAACCCATGGCAGTTTGAATTGTGTCACGGATTCTAAACAAGGTATGAACTCCAATTATCATGTCCATTATCTGGTGATAAAGAAATACCTTCACAGGCAAGGTTTGAAAATTTAAATTCTCCAAAAACAAGCTTGAAATTTACAGAAAATCCTGAGCATCTGCAGGAGCAGCCCTACTTCTGTAAAATGGATCCCTTACACCTGTGGTTTAAACAACCCAGTTATAGCTAATTTTGTACAAGACTATTTCTGGATCTCTTCGGAGCAGAGGTTAGTTACAATTAAGTTACAAATGCTGTCTGGTGGTGAGAATGTGGTACTCCCAGCCCCTTCTGTGTATCATACAAACGAGCTGTGGTCTCCCAAGCTCTCCAAGGAAGAGCTGCAACATGAACTGCTGCTCTCTTGTTGGTGAAGAGCACAGGAGTGGTAGAAAACCTTGAGAAATAGGAATTTATGGAACAAAGCAGCCCTTATGGTATCTGGTAAATGCCAAAGAAACAAAATGTTCAGCTTTAAGATCAGCCAGAGCTTTCTCAAGGTGTCTGGACTGTTAAAAATGTTTTTTAGCACAGGAAAGTATAATTCCGTTTACTATTAAGCAAGACTTGTACTTGGCAAAACAAAAAGAAGGTATCTGTCCTATTTACAGTATCAGCAGCACTGCTAAGTTATTGTGATGTCTTTTATGGCCTGACGGATTTGTCTTCAGTACAAACAAAAAACAAGCCTACTTTTATAGTTAATGCCTATGGAAAATCATTGAGAGAAAAATAACTAATGTGCCTTCTTTTACACTTCAGAAAAACCCAAATCGAGACGTTTGCGTTGTGGTAACATATCTATTTAACCATATGTTTCCATGCCCTCCAAGGACTGTGTTAAGCAGTTTTCATGCTCAAGTTTAAGACCCCCAGGCCCATTGATAATCCCTGTTCAGGTGACGATTCCTTCCGGACGTGTGTTTGTTACCTTCCGTTTATCCCAAGACGGTTTCCACATAACTCAGCCATGGATTTGCAGGCAATCCAAACATCCTCACCTCGCGTCCGTCCCTCAGCCCGGGTGGGGAGAGCACAGCGCGGGCTGGGGGGGCCCGGCGCTGGAGCCGCGGCTGCTCCCGGCGCTCAGAGAGGCACAAACCCGGCCGCATTCACACGTGGAGCACGGAGAAGGACGAGGAGAAGGACGAGGAGAAGGACGAGGAGAAGGAAAAGCAGGAGACGGAGCAGAAGCAGCCCCGGCTCCCCCCGCGGAAGGAGCGGCCCGCGCTCCGCGCCCGCGGGGCTGCGGCGGCGCCCCCGGCCGGCAGGGGGCGCT